GGCTCACCACCCATTTATCCCTCCGCCTTTCAATTAGCCCCACATGTGATTATCGGCCAGGCTGGCACATTTAACTAACTCAGATGGAAATACTACATTTCTACTAAAGGTTAATGAAAAATATAAAGCTATTTTTTTTCTTGCCAAGTTTACAGAACCCCCTCTTTCTCTTTACATTATATACACACAGGCCTGCTGGGAGCCCTTAGGCCTCCAGGTAAGAACCATTGGCGACATGCATCAAGCTATTAACCCTACTCCTTTAAGTTATCCTCACTTGCATTCTATCACCCAGAATCGGTGTGGGCTGGATAACAAGGAGGGGTGGGAAACAAAACAAAAACCCACTCCTATTGAGTCAGTTGACTCACAGCGGCCCTATGTAGGGTTTCCAAGACTGTAGGTCTTTAGGGGAGCAAGCAGCCTCATCTTTCTCCAGCGGAGCAGTCAGTGAGTTTGAACCACCAACCTTGTGGTTAACAATCTCTCACATACCCAACAGCAACACCAGAGCTATGTAACAAGGGGGGAAGGCATCTGCTAAGCCCCATGACAGACCTGCCCTGCTTTGAACATAAAAACTCCCTGCCATCAAGTCCACGGGGACTCCTAGCAACCCTCTGGGACAGGGTAGAACTGCCCCTGTGGGTCTCTGAGAAATCTTTTGTCATAGCCTGCTTGAAGGGGAGCCACTGAGCGGCTTCTATCAACCCTCAGTTTCTCAGTCCAGCTAGGAGACATCAGTCAGCAAGTTCAAACTAATGCTTTCATACTGGAGAGTCTCCATGGGTCAAGGCAAGACTGAGTGTAGAAAGAAACGGGATTGGCAGCCTATCTTAGACCACTAAGCCAGGGAGGTGCAGTTGGCCTTTTCATCCAAGCGTCATAAGGGCTCAGGAAGAGATTAATGAGCTGCGTGTGTGTTCTGGGGCTGATATTAGAGTCAGCTAAAAGCGTGTCAAAAGTTGGTGCAGGAGCGCAGTCCTGTTGCTCGCTCTTGTTGGTAGACCTGCCTCTGGTCTGGGATGTCCTTGTGTCACCACTCTCATTGCCTTCTTCCAGGATGCCCCAAAACAAACTCCCTGCCACGAGTCAACTCTGACCCGTAGAACTGCCCCCTTTGGGTTTCCAGGTCTCTCCTGGAGTAGAAAGCATCATCTTTCTCCCGAGGAGCACCTGGTGGCTTCATACTGCTGACCTTGCGGTTTGCAACCCCACCCGTAACCACAACGCCACCCCTGGGCCCCATGGGGACACTTACCTCGGAGGTGTTCTGGCTCCCAGGGCCTTTTGGAACCATTCTCATGTCCTTT